CATTTGTTATTTTCTGTCTTGTTGAACTTTGATACTAGTGCTGGAGCAAGATGGTATCTCATTGTTGTTTTGATTTGCATCTAAAGAGGTCTTTTGCAGCAGATTTTCTCAGTGCAGTATGTTGTCTAATTTCTTGACTGCTGCTTCGATTGCTGTTAATTGTGGAACTAAGTAATATGAAATCTTTGACAAAGTCAATCTTTTCTCCATTTATCATGATTCTGCTTATTGGTCCAGTTGTGAGGATTTTCATTTTCTGTATGTTGAGATGTAATGCATACTGCAGATTGTAGTTTTTAACCTTTATCAGTAAGGTGGTTAATGAGTCTTCCTTCAATCCTGATGCAACATTCTTCTTCATATAGTCCAGCTTCTCAGATAATTTGCTCAGTTTACAGACTGAGTAAGTATGGTGAAAGGATATAACCCTGACATACTCCCTTTCTGATTTTAAACCATGCAGCGTCCCCTTGTTCTGTTTGAACAACAGCCTCCTGGTCTATGTACAGGTTCCTCATGAGCACAATTAAGTGTTCTGGAATTTCCCTTCTTCTCAATGTTATCCATAATTTGTTATGATTCACACTGTTGAATGTTTTTGCATAGTCAATGAAACACAAGTAAACATCTTTCTGGTATTCTTTGCTTTCAGCCAAGATCCATCTAACATCATCAATTATATACCTTGTTCCACATCACACATAGGGTCACACATTATGGTTACATACAGGGTCATTATAAACCAGAATTGACTCAACTGATTTTTATTTTTGGAAGTGATACTGTTTCCTGTAATGTAGAAATATTAAAGTTATGGATTGAATTATGTCTCCCAAAAATATGTGTTGTAAATCTTAACTGCTATGCCTGGGGTTATAAGCCCATTTGGAAATGGATTATCTTTGTTATAAAATAGAGAAGCATATATTTGTTATGCTAATGAGACAGGGTTAGTGTAGGGTACATCTTGAGTCAATCTCTTTTAAGGTATAAAAGAAGTTAAACAAGCAAGCAGAGAAGAGACAGGGTAAGGTAGATGCCAAGACACGTGGAGACCTCCAAGTAACCAGGAAGAGACAAGGACTTTCCTCCAGAGTCGACACAGACAGAAAGCATTCCCTTGGAGCCAGCACCCTGAATTTGGACTTGTAGCTTCCTAAACTGTGAGAAAATAAATTCCTCCATGTTAAAACCACCCACTTGTGGTATTTCTTTTATAGCAGCACTAGAGAACTAAGACAATCACCTTTCCTTTTAAAGTACATTTATTTATTGAATTGTGACTTGGGTAAAAGTTTGCAGAGCAAACACATTCTGTTTTGTGACATTTTCTGTAACCTCCACACTGTAACAGCATTCTTCCTTCTTCCTTCTTCCTCCCTGTGTCTACCCCCTCCCTTCCTTCTTTCTTCCCATCCCTGTCCGCTTTCCTAGCTCTATCCCTCGGCAAATGCTGGCCACTTGATCTCATATGCTTGCTTGTTCTAATGAGTGCATACACTCCTGATATTTAAAGTACATTTCTTTTTCAGTAAAAACAGTTGATCAATTCAAAGCAAGTGTTAAGTAAATAGCCTTCCAAATAGTACTCAGGCAGGAAAAAGTGGTGAAGCAGCTAGATAATGACTGAGATTTGGAAAACTGACCGGCTCCAAAGGCCCATCCCAAATCCGGAAGCTGCCTGAGTTGGAAAAAATCATGTCTGTTTAGTGTAAGGTTTGCCTCTCAGTGAGTGACCTGATAACAATCCTGTTGACATAACTGCTGTTGATGAAAGCAGTCCCCTAACTGCCCCAGGCCAGTTCCTGTGTCCGGGTGGAACTCAGCAGATCCAGTACATATAAAAGGCCTGGTCCTTGGTGGGGAGCTATATCCTGGAAGGCAAGGCCCAGGCCCAGGCCCATTCCTCTCCTGCCAGAGGTAGGCCGGGTGCTATCGTGGCGACACGGTCTACCTAGAAGACCTCAGCAACTCAGGGGAAAGGAACCGGAGAACCAGCCTCAAAGCCATGAGCCTCGGGCCAGGTCTGGAGACTAGCATCGGTAAGAGGCTGCAGAGGGTGTCTCAACCCTGTACAGAGACCAGCTGAGGGAAGCTGAGGGGGCAGAGCCGGTATGTTACTGTCTCAGGGCAGCCAGGATTCTCAAGCCCAGGGTGGGCTTTATTTCCTGTGTTCACCAATATGCTAGAACATAAGCTTACTTAGAGCCTGTGTTGTGGTGGTTGTTGGTGGTGGTGTTGTTGTGTGCCATCGAGTCGGTTGGTTAAGAGCATGTAATTAGTTAAGAGTACAGATCTCTGTATTACAAGAAAAGATAACAAGAAAAGTTACTTCTTTAAGAATACAGGATTTCATTCACACAGAAGTGGGTTCAAAGCCTGCTCTGCCACTTGCTTCACTAAGAAGTTGATTGATTGGTTCTTCTACCCTGTGCTGGGTGGGGAGGGTACAACAGTAAGACAGAAAGGATCCCCAGGACAGATTCTCCCTAAAGCTGGGGGCAAGATCGTGTGGGGAGAGGGAGAGCAGCAGAGCCTCAGTTTCCTCACTGAAGGAGATCAGGGTCTTTCTCTGATTTGAGGACCTAAGCACTTAGTGTGGTTCACAGTAGCATCAATACCACCTAGGAGCTTGTTAGAAATGGAGATTCTTAGGCCCCACCCTATACCCACTGTATCAGGATCTGCATTTTAACAAAGTCTCCAAGAGGTTCGTGGCATAATGCCTAAGGTATTCGGCTGCTAACTATAAGGCTGGCAGTTCAAACCCACCAGCCAGTCCTCGGAAGGAAGACTGGATCATCTTCCTCGGAAACCCAAGGAGGGGTTGCTATGAGTCAGAACCGACTTGATAGCAGTGAGTTTGGTTTTTTTTTATTTTTTATTTTTTGGTCTCCAAGAGATTCATGTGCATGGTAAAATTTACATGCTGATATAGTAGACTCTGAGCTCTTGGCAGACAGATGACTGATGAAAGGGAGAGGTCAGGATTTGAACTCAGGACTCCCTGATGCTGAAATTCACATTTTTTGTTTTAAATGCTGGTAAAATATTCGTATGAAACATGTCATCTCAACAATTTCTGTATGTGCAATTCAGTGACATTGATGGCATTCTTCAAGTTGTGCAACCATTTAACTATCCTTTTCCAAATCATCCCACTACCATTTACATACACGCAATGTACCTAAGCAGAAACTCCCCTTCTCCCTCTCCCTCCCATCCCTCATAACCACTAATAACCTTTGCTTATTTCATATGAGATCATACAATGTTAGTCCTTTTGCAACTGACTTATTTCACTCAGCATGTTTTCAGTGTTCACCTGTGGTGTGGCATGCATTAGGACTTCATATCTCTTTATGACTGAGTAGCATTCCATTGTGTGAATAGACCACACTTTGTTTATCCGTTCATCTGTTGATGGACGTTTTGGTTGTTGAAATTCTCAGTCTCGACCCCTAAGTGTCTTCCCACCTTTGTGTACCAGACTGTAGCAGATAAACCCTAGCTGAATGAATGAACAGATGAATGAGCACGTGAATGAATGAGGGCAACCATATCCCTGGCTTTTGTCCACACAAACCTTGGATCTCTTTCTTGTTTCTAGGAGGGCAGCTGGTCCGTCATCAGAAGGCCGTCTCAACAGCTCACCTCACTTTTGTTATTGACGTTACCTGTGGGAAACAGATCTCGCTGGCAGCACCCCCAGTGCAACCCCGAGTCCCCCGGCCCTACCGAGGACTTGTCATCCCCCCAATGAAGACCCACATAGTGTTCTATGGGGACAACTGGCCCCATTTGCCTGAGAAGGCCTCCCTGGGGGGGGGATGCTCTGTCCAGCCCGTGGACACACTACCACCCCAGAGAGAGATTGGGGCCCCAGCTTCCTTACCAGATAGCTTGCTGTATCCCCAGGAGGTTCCTGAACCCAAGGGGAACCCCTTAAAGGCTGTGCCCACAAGGTCTTCTGCGTGGGGAACAGTCAAGGGCTCACTCAAAGCCCTCTCCTCCTGTGTCTGTGGGCAGGCAGATTAGCTGCAGAGGTCCAATATGGGAGAGGAGTTGGCACACCAGGGTTGTCTGTTCAGGGGCTGCAAGTCCTGGGCCTGGCCCTCTCTCTAGCTGGACAGAAGTCTTTAATGCTTGAGCCAAAGAAAGAACATTGAATCCACTAATGAACAGCTGAAACAGCTACCAAGTGCATACTCAAGGATGTCCTACTTCCTCCTTCATGTTCTTTGTTACTCTTTCAGGGAAGATAAGACACCTCCACATGGAAAAAGATTAATTCATTCAATTATTATCAGAGCGTCTTCTACGTGACCAATCCTGAGAAAGCTAGGGAACACTGTGGCTTTCTTGAAAAACAGGGAAGGGGAGGGGGGACTCTTAAATAAGTAACCAAAATAAATAAAGAAGATAATCTTGAACAAAGATGAGTGCTGTGGAGAGAATGAAACTAGTGCTGGGTAGAGAGTGGTTGGGGCAGAGAGCTTTTCTGATAACAGCTGCTGGGAAAGGCCCCTTTGATCCAGTAACCTCTGAAGTAGGATCTAAAAGATGAGAAGGAACCAGTCCTGCAAAAACTCACCTCTCCAGAGCCTGATTCAGGAGGGCACTCATGGCTTCCTATCAGGTTGGCTGCCACCATCTTTGTCCAGATGCAAACATGTAGGTCACTGGGAGGCCATGGGCTATGGGAGGGGAGATTCCAGGGCATGGTGGAGGGGATGAAAGACTCAGGAGACTCAGTCCCAGAGGGCAACCCGGGGGGGGGGGCCTGGTAGTCAGTGAATCTCAAGATGGGGTGCCCAGAAAGGGAATGGAAGGCTGTGAGGGCATCCTAAAACCTAACTAAAAAGGCTGACAAAAGCTTTGGCTTGGACTGCATTTTGTCTTAGGCTCCATTTCTGTTTCCGGGAATGTGACCCATGACTATTGGTTGGTAAACAGAGGGGGTCAGCTTGCCCTTGGAAAGATACTTAACCAAGGCCATCGGAGCAATTACAACTCACAGCGATCCTGTATGAGAGAGTAGAACTGCCCCAGAGGGTTTCCAAAGCCATAAATCTTTATAGAAACAGACTGCGTCATCTTTCTCTCACGGAATGGCTGGTGACTTTGAACCGCTGACCTTTTGGTTAGCTGCCAAATATTTGAACCACCGCACCATCAGAGCTGAAAACTTAAGTATGCTTTAAATAGATTAATCAAAGACCCCCAACAGGAGAGGTTCATCCTGTATTATCTTGCTAATCATATATCTTTCACAACCCTTAACTGAATGTTTTCTTTCCGCTTTTGGTCATTCAGGAGGTCTTATGCCTCAGGCTTCCTGGACTTTAGGTTGTCTTGTAAAAATGTCAACTAATAAGTACTGTCAATCCTTAATTATATTTTTCACAAGTGAGAGAGCCCTTTGGTAAACCAGATTCTGGAGACTTGCCTCATTTAACCCAAGATAGTATATATATATATATATATATATATATATACACACACACGGGAGGAGACATCAGTTAAAGGGGCTCGTTAAAGCCCCGCTGGAATGACTGAGCCTTGCCTTCCTCACCCATCTGTATGCAGTCAACTGGAGCCATAGGTTACAGCTTAAAGGAACTAAAGCACTCGTTTGGACTTGCCAACTGTCTGGAAACTTACAATTGAAATGGAAATGCCCTAGTGGGCAGAAGTAAGCAACAGTGACAGCTTTTCCAATGTTGGAACAAGACCTCTCACCCATACCGTTGAATGCAAACCCCTGAGGCCATTGGATTTTGTTGACCTTTTTATTGCTTTTAAGGTTGCTTTCCATTGGCAACTTGAGTTTAGTGACTGGTAAGAATTTTCCACATGGACTATTGATATATTTGCTATCTGTTTTCACATTCTTTGCTTCTGTCTTACATGCCTTTAGGGCCTGTAAACTAATAGGTTTCCCTTAGTGAATGAACTGAAATTGCTTTGTGCCTCACCGTCATTGTTTTTGAAGCAGTTTCGTTCTATCAATTAAAAATCAAAAAACCAAATCCATTGCCATGGAGTCAATTCAGATTCATAGTGACCCCACTGGGTTTCTGAGGTGGTAAATCTTCATGGAAGTAGATTGTCTTGTCTTCCTTCCATGGAGTGGCTGGTGGGTTTGAACCACCAACCTTCTGGTTAGAGGTCAAACGCCTTAGGCACTATGCCAGATGTATTATGAAATGTGTAGCCAAGGTTGAGGAAAAACATGTCCCAAAGCAATTGACTCACTGCACCTTTGTAACACAGTGGATGGGTCCTGTACATTGAGTTAGCATTCCTGAAAAGGCCAAGGTTTTCCCTCTTAATTGGCTCAGGTTTCCAATGGATGTATCCCATATCCACACAGTATGGTGAAAACCGACATGTTGTTGTTCTTAGGTGCCACTGAGTTGGCTCCTACTCATAGTGACCCTATGTGCAATAGAACAAAACACTGCCTGGTAGTGTGCCATCCTCAAAATCCTTGATATACCTGAGCCCATCGTTGTAGCTACTGTGTGGATCCATCTCATTGAGAGTCTTCCTCTTTTTCACTGACCCTCCACTTTACCAAGAAGATATCCTTCTCCAGGGAATGGTCTCTTCTGACAACATGCCCAAAGTAGGTGACACAAAGTCTGGCCATTCTCGCTTCCAAGGAGCATTCTGGCTGCACTTCTTCCAGGACAGATTTGTTCATTCTTCTGGCAGTCCGTGGTACTTTCAATATCCTTCACCAACACAACTCAAAAGCATCAACTTTTCTTCAGTCTCCCTTATTCATTGTCCACTTTTCACATTCATATGAAGCAAATGAAAATACCATGGCTTGGGTGAGGTACACCTTAGTCTTCAAGGCGACATCTTTGTTCTTCAGCGCCTGAAAGAGGTCTTTTGTAGCAGATTTTCCCAGTGCAATATGTCATGTGACTTCTTGACTGTTGCTCCCATGAGTGTTGATTGTGGATCCAAGTAAAATGAAATCTTTTCTCCATTTATCATGATGTTATTTATTGAGCCATTTGTGAGGATCTTCATTTTCTCTATGTTGAGGTGTAACCCACACTGCACATTGTCGTCTTTACTCTTTATCAGTAAGTGTTTCAAGTCATCTTCACTTTCAGCAAGCAAAGTTATGTCCTCCGCATATTGCAGGTTGCTAATGAGTCTTTCTCCAGTCCTGATGCCACATTTTTCTTCATATAGCCTAGCTTTTTGGATTTCTGCTCAGCATACAGTTTGAATAAACAAGGTGAAATGATATAACCCAAATGCACACCTTTCATTATTTTAAACCATGCAGTATCTCCTTGTTCTGTTCGAATGACAGCCTCCTGGTCTATGTATAGGTTTCTCATGAGCACAATTAAGTGTTCTGGAATTCTCATTCTTCTCAATGTTATCCATAGTTTGTTATGATCCACATAATCAAATGCTTTTGCATAGTCAATAAAACACAAGTAAATATCTTTCTGGTATTCTTTGCTTTGAGCCAAGATCCATCTGACATCAGCAATGATATCCTTCATTACACATCCCCTTCTGAATCCAATTTGCACTTCTGGAAGATCCCTGTCTATAAACAGCTGCAGCCATTTTTGAATTATCTTCAGCAAAATTTTACTTCCCTGTGATATTAATGATATTGTTGAATAATTTCCACATCTATTGGATCATCTTTCTTTGGAATGGCTACAAATATGGATCTCTTCCAGTCAGTTGGCCAAGTAACTGTCTTCCAAATTACTTGGAATAGACTAACAAGTGCCTCCAGCATGGTATTCATTTGTTCAAACAACTCAATGGGTATTCTGTCAATTCCTGGAGCCTTGTTTTTCACCAATTTCTTCAGTGCAGCCTTGCCTTCTTCCTTCAATGCCACTGTTTATTGATCATATGCCACCTCCTAAAATAATTGAACATCGACCAATTCTTTTTTGTACAGTGACTTTGTATTTCTTCCATCGTCTTTTGATGCTTCCTGCATCATTCAATATTTTTCCCACAGAATCTTTCAATATTGCAACGTAAGGCTTGAATTTCTCTTAAATTCTTTCAGCTTGAGAAATGTTAAGCATGTGCTTCCCTTTCGGTTTTCCAACTCCATGTCTTTGCACATTTCATTATAATAACTGACTTTGTCTTCTTGAGCTGCTCTTTGAAATCTTCTGTTCAGCTCCTTTATTTTGTCATTTCTTCCATTGCTTTAGCTACTCTTTGTTCAAAAGCAAGTTTCCGAGTCTCTTCTGATATCCATTTGGTCCTTTCTTCCTTTTTTTTTTTTTTTTTAATGACCTTTTGCTTTCTTCCTATATGATGTTCTTGATGCTATTCCATAATTCATCTGGTTTTTGGTCATTGGTGTTCAAGGCATCAAATATGTTCTTCAGATGGTCTCTAAATTCAGGTGGGATATAATCAAAGTCATATTTTGGCTCTGGTGGACTTGTTTTAATTTTCTTCAGCTTCAGCTTGAACTTGCATATGAGCAATTGATGGTCTGTTTCACAGTCAGAAGATATTGAGCTATTGACTGAAGATATTGAGCTTCTCCATCACCTCTTTTCACAGATGTAGTCAGTTGATTCCTGTGTACTCCATCTGGTGAGGTTCATGTGTAAAGCTGCTATTTATGTTGTTGAAAAAAGGAATTTACAATGAATAAGTCATTGGTCTTGCAAAAGTATATCATGTGATCTGTGGTGTCATTTCTGTCACCAAGCCATATTTTTCAACTATCATTCTTTGTTTCCAACTTTTACATTCCAATCACGTGTTCTAATCAATATATTTTTAAAGAAAATTTTTATTGTGATTTGGGTGAAAGCTTACACAGCAAATTCATTTCCCATATAGCAGTTCATACACACATTTTTTCATGAAATTGACTGCAATTCCCCACAATGTAATGGCTCTTTTCCCACTTCTTCCCTGTAGTTACCTCTTCTCTGTGTCCTTCTTTCCTATGCATTCCTGTCCCCTGAGCTATCTCCCTGTGCAAATACTGCCCTTCTGTTCTCCCATGATTG